GAGGTTGCAGCATATTTGCCCTGGTACCTAGTTCTCTAGGAAGTGGCCACAACATTTTTATTGACCCCACGTGAGACCAAAGCGACTCCATTTTGCTAAAATCCACCATTCCCCTAGCCTCTCAAATTAATGGTTAAAATGTGTTTCCTCTGGGACAGAAGATACAATCTGTAACAAACCAAAGTTCCTAAGTTAATTACTCAGCCAGGAAATAAACGTTCCGGGCCCCCTATCCATAGAACAATCTGTAGATGTGCTGACTGTCAGTACGTAATGGTCGTGACTAATAGTCAGTGTGTCTGCTGACCGTCAGTACGTGACAGTTGACCACCAACCTTTGCCCCTCATTTCCCTCGTAAAACCTACATGTAACCACCCCTCAACCCCCCCCATGCACCTGGCCAATCAAAAATGTACACTTCATGCTTGCTAATTGTCAGCCAATCATGTAGCTGCTAAATGGAAAACCTCCAAACCTTGCTGTAACCTCTATAAAAACCCCCTAATTTAAAATTCGGGGCTCTCAGTCCTGATCCGCTGCGCGGTGACGGCTGTGAGTCCCTGCTCGAGCTTGAATAAACGACCCTCATGGGTTTGCATCGGAATCGGCTCCTTGGTGGTCTTTGGGGACTTCACGATCTGGGCACAACACCCAAGGCAATCCAGATATTGGCATCTCAAGAAAACCAGTTAATAGTGGCTGCTATGTCACCTTGGCTATAGTAATAAAATCAGCAGCAATCATAGCATCAAATAAAAACAATATTGACAAAATCTAAGGACCAGTAGTGTACCACCCTTAACCATAGAAAAGAGATCTATAATTATTGTGTGAACACTATGACGAACCAAATATTGACCTACCACTGTCCTACGGTAAATATCTACAAAATGGAAGAACTTTACCTCTACTAACAATAGAATAATATTCAACAGTAATTGTATAAAGTTGATTAGCTCTCTAGAGTTTCATAAAATTTAATAGTTATACAAGTAAGGGTAGAGGGAACCAGAAAATGGTAAAACAAAATTTTAAAAATTAATCAATGGGGTATGAGAAGAAGGTGAGAAATGTGAGGTGGGGATCCTGTTGAGGAGTAGAAGGAAATTAATAGTATTAGAGAACAGTCAAAGGGAAGAATGAAGAAGAAAAAGAACAAAAAAGATAAACAGAGCAAAGTACAGGAAGTAAAATATAAGATGGAAGAGAAAAAAGCTGAAAGAAAAGAGAAAAGAAGAGAAAAGTAACTAAGGGAGAGGGGAAACAGAAAAAACGCAACCCCCAAAAAAACTTGATGAAGAAAAGATGAAAATTGTTGGGAGCAATGCTACATAATTCTAGGGAAAAATCATTTGAGTAGGCCTAGTTCTCCTGCCTACAGGCCAGCTAGGCCATTCCAGACGTAATTGCATTTTGGTCTCGGGTCACAACTGAGACCTTGTTGATCCCCTGATGCTGTAATCCTCCAAGACAAGACCACACCTGGGAGATACCCTGGGAGGAACCAAATCTTCATCTGCATAGTTCCTCATTGTTCTTAGATTTCCACTGTCCCCCAGTCTTTTGTTACACCTTGTTTATCCCAATGTGAAGTACTGAACTCTGCATTTCACTTGTTACATTTGTTTCCCCATGTACTGAATAAAAAGTGCTGCAAGCTAGGGGGCTTTGTCTTTGCTGCTGAGAGCAGCACTGATCAGACCCAAAGGTCAGTTTCTTCTCAGTCTCATTTTTCTACCTTTCCTGTAATTCACTGTGTGCTGCTGTGGCTCGTGGGAGACTAGGACTTACTGCAGAGGTTCTAGTAACGTCCCCTTCCCCTGTTCCCTACAGAAAATAATTTTAAAAATTGGAAAATCAAAAAAAGATTGACTAAAAAAATAAAATTCTTGTGTTTTTGAGTGGCTTCTTTACAAAGTCTGCAATCTTGGGATCCAGAGAATCACAATTTTCTCTACCTAGCTTTAGGGTTTTGAGCTGCCTGCCTGGACCAGAAGCCCCTCTGTCTGTTCAACCCAGACTGGGATTACTGTCTGAGCTCAGGCATGTCTTTGCTCCCATTGGTAGATGGGAAATCCAGTCAGTCCTCTGGTCTCTCTGCTGGATGTAGACAGTTGGGCTAAGGTTGAAGTGGACTGTTGGGATTTTGACAGTAGTGGGGTCTGGTTGCTCCCTTCTCTCCTTGTGTGTTCTCATCCAGGATCAGGTCAGTTGATTAATTCTCAGCTCTGCTGCTCTATGCCAATGGGCAGCAAACCGTGGAGCCAGTTGGAGTTGGTGGATGGTTACACCCTTGGGTCTGGGCAGGCACAGGCCTGCTTGTTTGCATTGGAGCTGTGTGTCCAGTGGAGGCCTGCTTTCTTGCATTGGGATGGGGCACTACATATCTGGTGCGGGCCTGCTTTTTCTGATGTGTGTGTGGGTGGTGGTGATGGGGATGCTGTGTATCTAGTGTGGGCCTCCTTGCCCACATGGTGGGGGGGCAACAGCTGTCCAGCACAGGCCTGCATGCTTGCATCTCAAATATTTGCTGTTTTAATGCTAGCTCAAAGCCCTATACTCTTTCTTTATTTCTTTTCATTTTACTTTGTTTTTCCTGCTCCAGTTCTGTATTTTCAAATGACCTGTCTTCTGGCTCACAGATTTTTTTCTTCCATTTCATTTGTTCTGCTATTTATATCCTCTGTCACTTTTAACAGTTTGTTGTTTTTTTTAAAAAATCTATTTAAGTCTCTTTGTTAGTTTGTCTATTACACTGTTGAATCATTTCTTTGAGTTTTCTTGAAGCTCACTGAGTTTCCGTAAAACAGGTAGTTTTAGTTTCCTAATCTGATAGTAGTTCTCAGATGTTGGTTATTATATTATTGCTCTCCAGTGACTTATTTTGTACATTGGGTGAGGTCATGATTCCCAGAAAGTTCTTTATTTTTACTGGAATGTGATACAGTCTTTGCATTGCAAGATTAAGTATTTATTTTAGTCTTCATAATTTGACTTTGTGTCTGCCCTTCTAGAAATTCTAAGGGGTTTGCTTCTCTGAGCACATGAGTCTTTCTGCTATTTCAGCACTAGAGGGCGACCCGAGCCCAGTTTTGTTGCCTATCCACATACAGTACAGTATGTTATTGAGAATAAACTTTAAAAATACCTCTTCTGGGGGCCAAGATAGGCTCAGGTACCTTATCTTACAGCCTATGTTTAGGCACTGTAAGATTCTTCTTGGCTCTAGGCTTCAAAACAGAAGGACTGGCCATAGGCTCCTATGGAATGACTTGATAGCTACCTCTCTCTTCTGGCCCCAGTTAGCTCTCTCTGTATTGCACTGCCTGATGCTATGGTAGGCAGACCTGTGGCCACCAGCATTGCAATTCTGAGTTACATCTCCCACAGCTTACCAAGACAAGCACTGTTTAGGGGGATGGGGCACAACACACAGGGCTATGGACTGTCTGCTACTGAGGTGGACTTATAGGCCAAGGCCAATACAACCAGCCTAGCAGTGATGCTGGCTGAAATAGAGTTCCTATCACCTGTCACACTTGTACTGCTACAGAGGCTTTCTCTGGAGCCATTGGACTAGTTATAGGGCTCATTAGAATCTGCCCAATTTTAGATTTCACCAGCCTGGTACTGAGTTCTAAGATAAAGTCCTGTATTCACCTTGCTGAGCCTGAGTCTTGTTACTTGCTGTGCTGCTCAAGGTTGTGGAGAGGTGATGGAGATATTCCATTAGTTTCCCAGGCTGATACTAAATTGAGTCTTATAGCTGCAGGGAGTAAACAGTCTCAAGGGAGTACACCAGACCCATGCGTCATTTGGCAGTGATGCGTGCTGAATCGTGAATTGGTACCACCAGCAGTTTCGGCTCTCCACTTGACACATGCAGGACTAGAGGCTCCATATAGAAGCTCTAGTCTGGGGACAGGGGCTTTTGGGCCCCTCTGTGGCAGTCTTGGAACTGAGCCCCAAGGTTAAGTCCTGTGCTCAGTTGGGCCCTACTCCCTAATTGAGTGGAATCTTGCTTCTCACTCTGCTGCTCAAGGTTGGCAGAAGGGTAGTAGAGGCAGTTATTGCCTGGCTGAGGAGCATCTGGAGCTGCAGTCTGGATTCTGACCCAGAGGGAAGTGCTATGGGCTATGCCTGACCCTAGGATTCACTGTGGCAGGCCCAGTGCTGGGTTTCAAGTCTAAGGTCTGAACTTAATATTTTTCCCTCCCAAATGGGAGGTGTCTCTTTCAGTGCCACACTGATTGGATTTGGGGGACTGATGTTATGGGCAATTCTTCCCTTCCTGGCCTCTTCAGTGCATCTTTTATCATTATTTTACTAAACTAGACACTATAATCTCACACCTGGCTTCCGTAGCTCTTATGAAGGCATGTGAATAGCTGTTCATATCAGTGTCTCTTTTGAGAGATGATCACCGAAGCATCTTACTTAGCTACTGTCTTGCTCACATTTAATTTTTACAACCACTCCAACATAGTACAATCCCACTTCACAGATAAGTAAGGGGAGTCTCTTTAAAGAGCTAAGTAACTTCTTTAAAGTATCCTAAGTGCCTTAGTATAGAGGCTACAATACTTTTTTTTCTCTGCATACTCTTATTACCTTCCTTCATTTAAAATTAAGATATTTGGCCAGGGAAAAAGCTTTACATGTAATAGCAGAGTTCAGTTTTTACTCTTGGCTCATGCTTTAGGGTGAGAACTGTGTCTTTAGGAATTCATAATTCCCTAAAGGTTTCAACCCCCAATTAGTCTGTACTGCGTAAATATGAGAGCTTCTGGGAAGGTGTATGAACATGACTTCGTAAATGTTAGACATGCACACACATGTGTGTTCATTTTTAAAGCATAAAATAATCATAATGCTTACCTCTAAGCCTTATTTGTGCATAATTATGATGAATTGATTTTTCTGAAATGTATTTACTGAAAAGTAGAAATTTAACAATTCCATTGCCTTCATTTGAAACTTTTTAATCCTTTATGTGTAGGTTTTCTTCATTGTAATGAATATGACAGTCTGAGATGGAGAAGGCTGAGGCAGACATTAGAATCTTTCGTCCCACAGCCTTTGAGAAATGTAATTAAAGTATCTGAGTTGGATGGCAGAGAAATAGGAGATGCTCAGCCTGAAACATTTGACAAGGTACTTTTATTACATTTTGACAAACTGGTAGACTCCCAAGGATACCACTCTTATGTTGCTTTGTTGTTGTTTTGCAGACATAGCCTGACAGAGTTTCTCAGTATTCTGGGAAATTTTGATAACATGAACATGGAAGCAGTTTTTATTTGATGGTCAACATGGTGCAAAGGAAGCAGTAACATTGAGTTTGGGGATTATAGAATATTATGTTTCCGTGTACCTTAAAGATACTTGGGAAAAGGTCAGATATTTGGGTCAGTACACAAACATGTGCACTGTGTTGCTTCAGTTCAGTAACATTTTGTGTTAGAGAATGACAATTTTAGGAAAAGATGTCATTTCTGTAAATGGAAATTGAAATATTCTTAAAAATACTGAGAATTGAGAAATAGGGTAGTGTCTGTTTAAAATGACTTTTCTAAAAAAAAATAAATAAAATGACTTTTCTTCAAAATGGTGAGAATTCAGAAATATGACAGTGCCTGTTTAAAATGAGTGACTTTTGTAAGTTTTTGGTGTGATTGTCAAAATATCAAATGTCATTAATAGACATTATTAGCTAGGCATGGTGGCACATGCCTGTAAGGTAAGGGAGGCTGAGGCAGGAGAATCACAAATTTTTGGCCAGCTGGGGCAACTTGGTGAGACCATTAAATAAAAGAGGGCTCAAGATAAGGCTCAGGGTAGACTGTTTGCCTAGCATTCTTGAGCCCTGAGTTTAATGGCCAGCACAACAAGAGAGACAGATAGCAGTAGATTTTTAGTCCTCCCATCTTTCTTTCCTGTAATCAAAACAAACAAAAACCAACACTGTAGCTGGGCATGGTGTCTGTCTCCTGCTTGTAATCCCAACACTGGGAAGCTAAGGCAGGTGGATCGAAAGTTTGAACTCAGCCTGAGCAGTTTAGAGAAATAGCAAGACTCTGTCTCAAAATAAAAAATAAAAGAAGGGCTGTTAATGTAGTCCAGTGTGAAGCCCTAGGTTCTATCTCCAATGTCATAACAAATAAACAATGATAACAAAAAAACACTGAAATTAAGTACAAAAATTTTCTGACAAGTATTAGTATTTTTAAACAACTTCGTGTGTTATAATTTTAGTCCCAAAAGAAATGTTTCTTTTTGTATTTGCTATTTGTTTGTCATATAGCTTCTCTATGTATGTTGTCCCTAAGAATATATTTACATCATTTGTCCTTATTTCTCTAGGTGTTAGTTGATGCTCCATGTTCAAATGATAGAAGTTGGTTGTTCTCTTCCGATACTCAGAAGGCAACCTGTAGGATACATCAAAGGAGGAACTTACCTGTTCTACAGTTAGAACTCTTAAGGTGAGGACTATTTAATATAAAAGCCTCCTTTGGTTTCTAATGTAATGTTTATTTATTTATTTATTTATTTGCCGGTGCCAGGGATCAATTTTGGGACCTTGAGCTTGTGAGGCAGGCACGGTGCCACTGAGCTAAATCCCCTGCCCTCTAAAGTAATTTAAATAGGTATGACAGAGGATATCAAGCCCCCAAATGGAATGCTTCCTCTGTAGGTTTCAGTGATTAATTCCTCTGAAGGCTGCACTCAGAAATTACCAGCTTTTTTTGTTGTTTGTTTTTTGAAAATTTTCTGCTTTCATGCTATAATACCTTCTAACCCCTAACAACATGCAGTATCACTGTGCATTATCTTTAAAGGGCCCAGATGAAGTTGTTTGTTTACTAGGACTATCCCAAGCATAGGATTAGAATCAGGGTTTTTATCAGAATCTAAGCAGTCCTCCATAGGAGTAGCTTTGGAGCAGGATGTATTTTTTGGTAATTTTGGTAATTTTCTGGATAAGTCCGATCCCTAGGAAGATGCAGCTATTTGTTTGCACTTATCTCTCCTCTAAGAATCTTGTAGAAGTGATTGACTGCCCAGGGATATTTGGTTTCCTTCAGATCAAAGGCATTTAGTGACATCTTTGCTCTGATTCCAAAAGAGATTTTGACTTACACCCTCGTCCTAAGTAATTCCTATTATTTAATGCTTACATTTGTCCATTTTTTTTTTTGCCATAACAAAATACCTGAGGTTGGATATTTTATAAAGAAAAAAAGGCTTGTTTCTTGCTCTTTCTCAAGAGTTCTTCATTAGACATTTGCCTATACTTGTCTCCCTTTCTGTTAAGATTTTAAATCCCATGGGATCTAGGATTGGTTTCTTGTTTTTATTCCCAATGTATAATTTGGTGTCTGGCATATAGAAAGAACACAGTAAATAATTGTTTAAAAGCAGTAAATTGCAAGGGCAGAGTATTTAGAATTTACAGCTGTAATTAAATTTATAGCAAAGTTAATCTAACAAAAAATAATGGTATCATTATTGTACTGCAAAGTAATTAGGCATAAATGTAAAGCAATTCACATAATTTATTTTGATTGCTTTACATGGTTTGGGCCAAAGTCTGGTTTGGGTTTTAATTCAGTTTTTTTTTCTCTTCATTTAATAAATTTCCTTTAACATCCCACATTCCCTTAACATCAGTCGTCACCACAGAGATCTCAGAGATCATACACATAAACCTCTTATGCCATAACAACTAAAGCTCTTCCTTAGTAGTTATTCCACTCTCCCATCTTCCTGCTCCTCAAAAGAAATGCCTATAGCATCACAGCACTTACAAAACTGACTTCTCAGTTATAACGAATAGAGGTTTTCATGTAATTGTTCACAATTGGGAAAGACCATCAGATCAGCCATCATCCCATGTTTTGTCCAGAGCAGCTCCTGTACAGTACATGGCCCTGATGCTTGATCTGTATTGGAAGTTTAGGAGCTTCTTGAAGTAGCTAACACTTGGGCCCTTTGAGCTATGAGGTTATGATGTTAAAGGGGAGAGAAAAGGATATCTAATCTGTAGACACAAAAAGTGATCTGATTCCCCAACATCTACATGTTTTGGGGTTAAGAAAAAAAAAGAAAAAGTGATAATACCAGATACAATCTCTTGTCTATTGCCCTAGACTTCAAAAAATGAAAAAAATAATTACGGTAATTTTTTCATCAGAGCTACCTCTGTTTTATCAGTATATCAGTTGCAAAGAAGTTTCTCTTGCTGTCTTCCAGACCTTTCTCACCTCTTCTTTCTTTAACAAAAGGCAGTCTTTTAATTCCATGATAAGAGATAAAAGGATTCAAACAGACCTCTTATTCCCTCAACAAAAGGCAGTGTTTCTATTTCATAATAACAGAAATAAGGATTTAAATGCAAATCTACAAGAGAGTAAAGTGCTATGTATGAGTTTTAGTCAGACTATAAAGGATAGATAGAAGATCCTTGTATTTGCATAAAGCAGTTAGAAAACACAGGGAAGCAAGTAGTGCCTGGCCTTATATTGTAAACAGAAGATTTCCTATTCAAAAGAGAGAAGAGGCGTGGACTGCTGGCAAGTGCAAGGACCTTTCAAGTTAGATCCCCGGGGCTGGAAAAAAAAAAGAGAGAAAAGGCATGGAAAGGGTAGTCAGGAAGCATATAAGTCAAACCTTTTGGCTGAACTATTTTATTGAAAACTGCATCAGTTGGCACTCATCAGAGAAACAGATTTAATGTAAGATGTACAAATATATCAGAATTTACAAAATTGGCTTACAGTGGCCACCCACAGAGACAGGTGTGGAAAAGGGCTAAAGGACTTATCTGCATGCTAGAGATCCAAATGATGCAGTTGAAAGCCTAAAGCCCCCTGTAGTGTCCTGTGTGAGTCCATATCAGGAGGCCAAAGGGTCTGCAATGGAAGGCTGAAGGGTCAGTGCTGGAGGCTGAAGAGTCTCTGCTGGAAGCCAGGAGATGATGTCCAAGGTGTAGGTGAAGACTGGAGCTCCTCCAAAGAAACAGAAGCAAGTCTTCCTTCTTGTTTCCCTTTAATACCATTCTGGTGTCAATACTCTCTCTGCTGTGTCTTCCATACCTAGAACTATGCAGATCCAATTTAGTTGGGTGTTTCTTACTCAAGTTAACACAATCAGTTAACTATCACAATACACCCCTTGTAAACTGGACAACCAGACACATTTCTTTAAATCATAGTCTCCAGATAGAGACAAGTTCCTAATCATTCCTAACATGTTATAACTATCCCATGTACACATGGACACGCACTAATTCCCTCCCAAAACTAGAAGGCAGTTTTTTTGGGTGATGCTTACTCCTATCATTTCATAACTTGAACATTAGAACATAGGTTAAACAATACTTAAAAACCAATATTAAGTCTATCACCATTATATAACATTGGAAGCATATTAGGAAAGAACTATTACATTTCTTGTTTTTGTAGCTGATCACAGTGTAATAGCTGGTATCTACTACCCATTCTTTATTCCCTTGGCCTTCAGCAAGCACCTCAGCAGGTCTTGGTTCTTTCCCTGGTGGAAGTGGCCCGTATCTGAAGGTTCTGGACCATTTGTCTTTCTGCCTGGATTAGTTGTAATTTCCCTTTGAGTAACTGCAGTCCCCACTATAAGGTTTGGCATACAGAAAAGAGTAATGACAAGACTCTTCAGGGATTTTCTGGATCATTCCAGTGTAGCAGATTAGGTCTGATGTTACAAATCCAACTCCAGTATTTCTATTTCCCTAAGCCTCTGAATACCTTCATCAGCAGTAAACCATGGAATGTCAAGCATCTCTAACTCATTCACAGTGGGCCATCTTTTGATCCATACTTCTGCAAACCAGCCAAATACATTAATACCTCCTTTTTACTCCAGGAGCTGCAACATTAAATTCAGAATCTCTGCTTTACGGGCCCATATCAACAAACTCATCCTGTTTCAGATGTATGACCATTATCCCACACTCATACAATCCATTCCCACACTTGCTCATCAGGCCTCTGCTTATAAGAGTTAGAAAACTCAAATAGTTCTTTGGGACAATAGTAGACCTCCTCATGGGAGAATATGTACCTCACCCGTAGGAGCCTTTTTCGATTTGAGCCTAGTTATAGTCCTCAAGGTAAAAGTGGATGGTGAGGTTGGGTCCTGAGTAAGGCCAGTATTATCATGCTTGGTCAACATAGGATTAGTTTCCTGAGGTGTACTAGGAGAGGCCAACACCACAGGGGAGGAGCAAGAAGATGCCTCCACTACTGTGGGTGAGGAATTCTCTTCCTCTGGTAAAACAATTCTTTAGGGTTTAAGAGCTCAACATCCTCAGCTTATCAGGATCCTCCCAAATGTCTCCATCTCAGTTTATAGGATCCCATTCTTTTCCAATCAGAACCTTCACCTTTAATTTAGATACCCTTTCAGAATGAGCATTAAACTTATTCTGTATTTCAGCCAATAGAATTATGAGGGCCTATCTTTGGATGTCTGCAGTCTCAGCTCTGAGGCTAAAAGAAAGGAGATGCTTTTTCAGGACACACTTAGAAACTTTTAAATTCTTTATGTGTGTCTGAAGCTGGGAATTTGAATCTTTGAGCTCTTTATTTTCCTTTATTAATTTGTCCTTACAGTTAGAAGACTTTACCTAGGGATGTTTTGAGCTCATTGTTTTCCTTCATCAGTTTTTCCAGAGATGCCAAAAGCAACCAGATAGCATCATTATATTTCCCACTGTGCCAGAAATTTTCAGATTTATCATATATGGCGTCGCTAAATTCCTTACATTTCGCAAGTGGTATATTAGGATAATCAAGTGGATCTACATTGCATATTACCTTAAACAGTTTACACCAAGGACTATCAATATTCTCCACAGTATTAGAAGGAAAGACCATGTCATCTTTAGTCTCATCAAATCAGCCAACTCTAGGAACCCCTAAAGCCATTAGAAGAATTTCATCTTTACAATTCTGTTTCTTTAGAGCCACTCTCAGAGCCAAATCCATATCAGTCAGTGCTTACTAGAAAAACATTTAATGCAAGAGATACGAATATATAAAAATTTACAAGATTGGCTTACAGTGGCCGCCCACAGAGTCAGGTGTAGAAAAAGGCAGCAGTCTGCCTGTATGCTGGAGATCGAAAGGATCCAGTTGAAAGCCTGAAGTCCACTGTAGTGTCCCACGTGAGTCCATGTCAGGAGGCTGAAAAGTCAGTGCTGGAAGCTGAAGAGTCTGTACTGGAAGCCAGGAGATAATGTCCAAGGTGAAAAGAAGACTGAAACTCCTCCAAAGAAACAGAAGCGAGTCTTCCTTCTTGTTTCCCTTTAATAAAATTCTGGTGACAAGCCTCCCTCTGGTGTATCTTCCATACCTAGAACTATGGTGAGCCAATTCAGTTGGGTATTTCTTACTCAGATTGACACTATCACTTAACTATCACAAAAACTAAACTTGGGCTGGGGATG